TGGTTTTTAAATTCGTTATCTTAAGGTCTTGCACTTCATTTTGATACTAATAGCAAAAACCTAAAACTATTATTGTTATTTTTAATTGCAATTATTTAAGCTAACCATATCAATCTAAAGAGAATAGAAATCATTTTGAAATTATTTATAGCAGTTATATTTTATATGTGATTCTATTTAAAAATCCATAAATGGGTCTCATTATTGCACCCAACCTGTTACTATTGCAATATTAAAATTGAAGAGTAATTGAACTTTTAGTGTTAGAACAGTGCACTATAGATACGAATCCACCCAATTAAATTATACAACATTATAGACGTACTTAACATAGATTTAGATGTACAATAATTAAAAAAGAAATATATAAGTGTTTTATTCATAGTGTACAGCATCGTCATTTTGCCTGTAAAACGTTGCGTCAGTAAACGCAAAGTACAATTTTATTGTTGTATACTATATATACAGGTATTTTTTTTCTACTGCCCGACGCTAAGTGACTTTCGGTATAATATGATAAAACAAACAATAAGACACGTATTGGAAAACCAATAGATCCATCCATCATCAAAATGTATGGAAAAAAAACGAAGTAGATAATTGGACGGCTTTGAAACCCACCCCCTCTCCACTCCCCACTAAACCAAAAAAAAAATTACTTATATATTTTCGTATGCGGTGGGAAGTGCGCTCTTTTAAGGTGTATGATATATATATATATATGGTATTGTACCAAGCCAAACACAGTCCCATGTACCATGACGCGAAACTGAAGGGGAATACCTACTACAAATCTTTACGGTAAATATCACGTCTCTATGTATTGACGAATACGTTTTGTTTATTGCATTGAATTTCCAACACTAGTTCGTATTTTGATATCGTCGATTGTTACGATAATGTAATTTTCCTCGTTTTGTGTCAACACATAAATGTAATCTCGATTTCTATATCATTAAATTTCTGGGGAGAATTTATTCTACGATATGTCTATGTAGTATGTACCTCATACGTCACGTTTTTCGGTGACTGTATAACCCCGGGTCTGCCGATTAAATTACAAAAAAAAAAAAAAAAATTTGGGAAAAAATTTGGTAATAAATGGTGATAATTCCGCTAAAAACAAAATAGCTATACGGATTTCTGTTTCTGTTAAAAAAAGTTTGCCAACCAATGGTTTTAATTTTAAAAAAATATCTCACAAAACGCCGAAACAGCATAATAATATTATTATAATGGGTGCTTTAAGCGTATTATACGTTCAAATGCCAAAGACGTCCTATCGACTCGACATAACCCTACAACGGTCAAGAGCATGGGAAGGGTGATGGCATATACCTCATCGCTATTATAATGAACAGGCGACTTCTCCTCGACGTCATCACCAACAATAATATTATAAACACAAGATTGTAAGGAATTCAAGACACTTACCTCAATTTTTAAACAGCTCTTAAAGAGAAAAAATATTAAAACAATACAAATAGTAAATACAATAGTCTTGAAAATTTGAACGACGGTAGCTCGAAAAACTTGACAGCTTGATTTTTAAATTATTCCCCTTGAGGTTAAGTTAGGTTAAATTCAGTTTGGTTATATTGAATAATATATAATATTTTGAAGCGATTTTTTATCTCTCTTCAACTTCGGTAGTTATCTCGACACTATTGTATAAATGTATACAACCGTGACGCGTGCCATTGATCCAATAATAAATGAAATAGGCAGTGTGCTGATTTTTCAATGCCCATGTATACTGTATAATTTAATTTGGCTGTGTTAATTTTTTATTATCTAATGTAGAATATGAAATAGTACCTAGAAAGTACCTTAAAATGTATCCTCGATATGTCAAAGTTCATAGAAATTGGAATTTTTTCTGACATACTTAGATGTTTGATGATTTTGAAAAAAAAACTACTTAAAGAGGTTATACTATTGGAGTTTATTGTTTGTGTGTATAGTTATCACTTATTATTATTATTATATTGATATGATGCACAAATAGTAAAAAAAAAAAGTGATATAAAATATAAATATTATACATATGTAATCAAAATATAAAATAATTAGTAAGTAACTTTTTTCGAGTGAAATTCCTCGTCAATAGGATTATTTATTACTTATTAGTTATTACTATTTTCCATCAATAATCTGCTGTTTTACATTAAGTAGTTTATTTCAAAAGCTAATGATAAGAATTCGTCTTAATAATGTTTTATATTTCATACATAGCGTATTCTAGATAGGTGTCTATAGTTTGTTGTTTGAAATATGGAATGGTATTTATTTCGACTTCAGTCAAGGTTTTAAATATACCAAGGTTCTATATATTATTGGATAGGTTAAATTGTTTTGTTAATCTGTTATTTCCTGTAAAACGGTGGCGGTATGAGGGTATTATAAGTATTATAATACTTATAAGAATAATATATATTAAAAAATAAAAAATAAATAATTATAACAAGATCAGCCACAACTCTCTCCTCCTATACATGACAAAATCATTTGACCACAGGTGTATTGGGTCTACGGATACTGCTTACACGCCTATATTATTAGGTAATTAATAATTATTATCCATAATATACGTTATAATGTTTTTTCAATGTCACACATTCAACTCTTTATCATAAATCGACCAACTCCATTTTTGATTTAATGTTTCTTCAAAATTTAAATACACTATTACAACGTTTATCCAATTTAGCATACCAGTACCATTGAGCATAACATTAATATCGCAAAAACATGACTTCATACTTACCCATTCATTTTAAAACTCTTATACATTCATAAATCATACAACTAATATGAAACATTTCATTATAGTTATTAAATGTGCTTATTCAAGTTTTATAAAATATGGTAACGATATATTATTAAGAATGTGAAATTATAAAAATTAATTGCATACCTACGTATGTATAATATATATACATATGCCATGAACAATTATTAATGTTTTTATTATATATTTGTAATCAGTTTCTTCCTCACAATCATCATTTCAAATTTCTTTCTTGTTGGATTCTTTTCAAAACGATAAATATTTTTATGAGAAGTACTTCCGTGCAATATCCTCAACTTCTCTGTTTTGCAAACAAGAAACAGTACATAGATTCTTTTCTTGTGGGTTCTAAATAATACAATCCAATATGTATTTATAATTTTGTTAATAAATACAGAGATATATTACATTTATTTTTGTATACAAATACTGTAAAAATTATCTTTTGAAAGTTTCAAATTTAAAAAAAATATAATAATCATTATTAACTTCGAGGCATCTTAAGTATCTAAATATAAAATAAATAAAATATTGTTTGTATATTATATGTATGTAGTAGTTAAATCATTTAAAATGTTTTATAACATCGTTAGTAAGAGCTTTTGTAGAAYAACCTGAAATAGCTAAGTATAATGTTATTAATTATATTATTAATATTGCATGATAATATATTAAATTAATTGTTACTGTTGTACACTGGTACAAATATTGTAATTGGATTAGAAATATAATACCTATTGGCTAATAACTACCAATGGGCTCTAGGAATCTTTGTTTCGAAGAGTTTTATTTATTTAGTGCAAATAGTATCGAAATTAAACGAAATATTTATCCTAAACTGTAAAACATAATAATATTAAAGAAATAGTGAAAGGAACAAGACGCAAATCTTATTTTGTCAAATATAATTTAAATATGCATATAAAACTGCTCATTCGTTTATTTTTATTTTTCTGTTACGATGTATACAACCGTAAAACCTAATATTGAAAGGAATACCTATTCAAAGTAAATACGGATCTCATTTTTACGAATACAATATTATCTACGATTGCCCAATGCCCGTGTATAACAATTTTCATTTTATTTCTGTGTTGCGATGTACTTATACCTCTATGCATGTAGTAATGCCGATCTGGTCATCCTTTGTTCACTCACCCAATTTATATAGCAAGAAACTTTTCGATTCAATACTACAAAGAGACGTGCCACGAATATGTGATAAAAGCATCGGTGAAACTTAGCAGAAGCTAATTTTATTTGCAGTAATGAGTTTCACCTGCGTAAATCCGAAATATTAGACTGCGTGTCGTTGACAGTATTAGTAATACACACAAAATATTCAGGCGATCTTTTCTCACCCAAGCCCCCTACCCTGAACAAATACGACTGCTACTCGTTTGCGCAAAAAAGTAAAACTCGATCGCGCACATATATTAATCATTTAGCTACCCGTGACAAATTTCCATTGTCATCGACGTGTTTTTCATTGAAAAACTGTAGGCGCTTAACTATTTGATGAAGTATACGATAAGTCTAAAACTATATAACCTTTCAAAAGATTATTTTTATTTTAACGAGTAATTTAATAATATATTGCTATCAAATATTTTAATATGATAATAATTTGTACTACCATCTGTGACTGATCGCAATGATTAAGTGACATCAGGTTAAAATTTAAATGACCACATAGTAGGTAACACGATTTCATCGTTTCCCACACCCGGGTTAACGACAGGTTTCGTTGTGCGCAATCGGGTCGCTAATTTTCGGGTGAAAAATATTGAATGTGCGTAAACGAGTTGCACCATATACCCCTATTAAATAACCCACTAGGCTCCAGTTATGTACGTCGACCTATTATAATAGTATGATAAATTACTATTCGTCATCGTGATATCATGTATTATTATTCAAAACAAATTGTAATAGCGTAATACATGGGGGGTGGTGAACTCTGCATTATGGTATTAATATTATTCGGGGTTCGAAAAAAAAAAAATGATATGAAAATGTCAGCCTATTGCCCACTGGGAATTTCTCGCCCATCTCAAAGGTCCTTCGAACGTTATTGTGCGTGCGCGCTCGGTTGTGTGCTTGCGTGTGTACCAACACGGTGGCGGAAAAATAATAATAATTATTATTGTTAGGCACGACGACAATATTATAATATTTTACATTAAACTTTCGTTTTGTTTGGTTACAGGATTGGTTTACGAGGCAACAGTTGGTGTTGGTTATATTGATCGTCAACATATCGTTGGCACTGATGTTTTTTAAACTTTTGACATCCTAGACGCGGCGCCGGTGGTGAACGGCTGGGACACTTCCCGCAGCCATATCATATGAAAATAGAAAAACAAAATATACATTTATTATATTTTTCATACATGATAATATTATGTTGCGTTAATTCACGGCGGTGACAAATTGATTGTTATTGCCCGTCAACATTAATTATTATTTTTTTTTAAAACGACCGTTTCGGGACGAGACGGCTCGAAGCGGCACCGGACGTCTCGTCCGGAAAACGTTTCGATACGTTTATTTATTCGTTTCAATCACTTTTGGCAATGTCATAAACAATAAATTACAATACACACGCATATATATATATATATATATATATATATTATATAAATATATACACATACATATAACACCATATTGTTTGTTGTACGGCGTTATTTCCGAATAAATCGATTTATTATTATTATATACAGGTAGTGACACGATGTGACGTCGAACAACTCGACGACGGTGTCTTATAATATTATTATATAAGATTTGAGTCGAAATCGATTGGCTTTTATTTCGGTATAATATAATATTATTATTTTGTTAGTGAATATATTATAGTGCATTTGATTTTTTTTCGTTCTCTAGATGTTGTTGGTGTTTTATTATGTTTTTTTTTTTGTTTACCGCATAAATAGTATACGATGACCAAGAAAATATAGCCAATATTATCGTTATGATTATTGTTATTACTATTATTATTATTATTATTTTTATCAATATCAATATCATTATTTTATCAGTATAATGAAACACGAAACAGACACGATAATTAATTTGTAATCTTTATCGAAATACACAATATTATATTATAATTTTATGTAATTTAATTAGTACTGGTAACAAACCACACACAAGCACACATACGTAATACACACGACTTTAATACATAGACTTTTGTTGTTGTATGTTCTACATTATTATTATGATATTGTATGTATAATTTCTGTACCTAGTATGTTGTTTTTATTTTATTATGTTTCACGAGATGAGCATCATCAACAACAAAAAAAAATAATTAGGTAATACAAAAGGAGAAGGAAAAAGAACRTCACAGAGACGTCAATGCAGTTGTTATATTGTTATTATAAATATTATAATTTTATAATTTTCATATTTTTGTGTGTGCACGTAATAATAAAATGTGCGTACTAACACCGTACAGACGACAAACGAAATATTATGTTGTATATTGATTTGCTTATTGATTTCACATTTATATAATAATATGCATGACATAGGTATCAATGTATCACTGATATTCAAAATAGTATTAAAACACAATTAGTCATTGTGAAAAAAAACGTATTGGGATGTTTGCAACATATAATTTCTTATTAAATTTTTTTTTGTCATTTATGCAATTTTTAAACAACATTAGGTAGGTTCCTATATTCAAATATATCATATTTTGTATTGTAAGTTTTTTAATGTTCGTAATAATTATTTTTATTTTTAAATTCAGCTACTCCTCCCGCATATAATTCATATGGGGATGGTTAGAAAATATTTTGATTCTCATGGAGACGTAGAGGTTGAGAACCATGTATATTAAGCATGATTCATTATCCTGGTGAGGAATTATATGGGATGATTCTACACCGGTTTGGACCAAAGAATTACTAGATTTTAAGTTATTAATAATTGATTAAATTATTATCTGTTGGTCTTGTTAGAGGTAATTAAGATCACAACGTCATGGTTTCTTAAAAAATATTACATCTGTAATGTATATAATTGTGCTTAGTGCTTGAATATTGGGAAAAACTTAGAAGAGGAATGCAAAAGTGCAAAAAAATATATGCTTACCTGAATATTTAACTGTGTTATTGATTCAGATCTATAACCAGAAGGGGTACTAGGGGTATTTATATATATATATATATATATATATATATTATATATATATTTATATATATACACGTGGATATTTTTAGAAATAATAGAAACCCTCTCCCTCCATGCATTCATTAAATTCAAGTAGGTATACTACCTTCATATTATATTGTATTACATAGATTATATCGATTGGTATGAAACGAAAAACCAGGCCCATGTCTATGAAAGTGAACAAAATTAATATAATATGTAAAATATACCTACGTGTATATAATAAAATAGTTTGATGTTTTCTCCTTTTTCTCGTCGTAAAAATCAAGTTTTATGTTTGAAATACTATTCACGTTATGGTTTCAAAGGCAAAAACCACGACTTAATGAACTGAAAAAACACCACGGGAACAAATTAGAAAGGATAGGATGAAAAAGTGTAAAAAAATTTGCATACCTGAATATTTAAATGCCTTATTTATTAAGATATAATTAGAAGGAGTTTCCCTCTATCTATGCTGTATAATATTCAATCACTACTTTTATGAAATTTGAATAAACAGATTCCAATGATTGATGCGAAATTAAAAACCCAACTACTGTGTTCGATAGTTAAAATAATGTGCATAAGCATGTTTATCGAACAAATAATATTTTATAAGAGTTTCAAATTTGGGACTGAGCTCTAATATTTTTCCTATATTATTTCATTCCATTCATATTTCGAGAATGTTCTCATCTTCTTTATCGTTACTAAGCGTTGTTAGTGGCAGCGCTAGAATTTGAGAATCAGGTGGACCAGGATGAAGTCAAATTTTTTTCAGGGGGGGATTAATATGTGAACTCGATATATATGTATATTATAAAAATAATAGTGATGCCATTTCATGCTCAATATTTTCATATATTCTTATAACCATGGTCCATAAGATCATTTTCAATAGCCAATTATGATTTATTTAAAATTTAAATTTTAGTTTGGGCCACGGAGGGAGGACAAGACTTTTTAAGATGGGCCCGCGACCCCCCTGGCGCCGCTACTGATCGTTGTGGATATCACATCTTGGGTATACGGCCTGAGAATATTATAGTGTTTGTATATTGAATACTTAAACGTTTCGATTGGAATAGGACCTTGGGAACGAACCGGAAAAAATAGGCATGCGGTCAAGTATTTAAGTTAATTTAATTATTACTTCGTGCGCACTGTTCGCGGTTGGAACACACCCAGAAAATGAACGTCGTCGTCAGTCAACGGTGTAAAGCTAACTACGCGCCCGCGTGTACGATATTATTATTAATGTGATGTTGCACGAATCATCTAAACATGATAATGCTTGTGTACTTACCATGTTAACCGTCGGCTTACCTGCAGCTGTAAACAAACATTGCGATAATTATATTTAATACATGTTAAAACAGGGAAACTTCTTGTAATTAGCTATATTTTTTATGAATTTTAGATGGTTCCATGATTGTTTTAATTTTAAAAGTATATTATTTTAAGACACAACCCGACTCGTGTTCTCTCAGTCATTGATACAAGATGGAAGTATGTGGGATAATGTGGGTGAGAGCATCTTCATGGAGTTCTTAACTGTCACGTTTTTCCCTAAAACATTCTGTAATACTATATAGGTAATACAATAATATTTTTGAGTCGTAAGACTATGACCTACATCATCGTAATTAGGTATTATGCTTTTTCTAACGTCCCCATCGCATCGTCTTGATCGTCGGGATGGTCTTCATTTTCTCTGTCAGTCTCTAGTGTTTGCCAGCATGGTACTAAATTAAGTTTTTTCATTAAATTATAACTTACCGCTTTAAAAAAAGTCACCCAGTAAGGCTATATTTCATACTACGTCCTCTTCAATAATCATGTATAGAGTTTAGTGCAGTTCACCAAGAGTATCAAGCTCAAAGTAATCTTGCACTCTTGATTATGTCCAGTATGTTTTGATTCTGGAAATGGCTCTCTGTCTCGTTATATGCCATGCTCTTTAATTTCCCAAATCGTTATCCTTTACTGGTCCTAAAATCTTCATAAGTTTTCTTTTAAAATCCATAATTCCATTATCCTGARGAGTGCCTGTCTCATATCATCATTAACGTATTCAAGAATGAGTTTTCAAAAATATCTAATTGTTCCATATTTTAATTTTTTTTTAAGACAATTCTCTAATTTTATTCTATATTCGATGTCAAAAAATAATTCAAATATTGTACTAAGTTTACATTAATTTTGATGTAATATGCAATTACCTATGCCAAATAGAATTTAATATTAACATTGTTTATTATTTTGACTATTTGAAATTCAAAATATAGTATACTATAATAATTTTTATAGTTCAAGTTATGCTATACTCTACACCTACTCTATACCTACCACCCAAACTACCAATTAAATAAAATTTGCTACCAAAAACTATTCTCAAAGTGGAAAATTAAAGCAATATACTTTCCTATCCGGTTTATGTTACCCCAAAACATTTAAAGTATATCATATTATTATTTACGATTATTACACATACGTACAATGAAATTTTCAAATGCGATATTTTCATTAAAAACCAATACAACTTACCGTATTACTTTAATAGCTATATTAAATGAGGCTTGGTTCAAAATCGTTTTCACGTGAAATTATTTATCGTTGCTTTAATCAACTCAACACATACTTACATCATATATTAGTGGCTATTACTCCTGACTGATGCGTACACTCGACACTTATTGCAGAACTGCAGTTACCCACTTTTCCCCAGATTTTGAAATGCATGTAGCATTTGGGTGTATCCGAATTTTTGGTATTTAACTACGTTTACATTATTCAATGGGTTGTTTTTTCATGTATGACAACGTTGTTACCTATATTTAGCACTGATGCCGACCATAATATACCACTTGTGTACCTACATAACTCGTTTCCGTATATATACTATATATACCTACATTATAGTAATATAGCATATAATGAGACAGGGGTAGGTTTCAGACGTTTCAGTTTTACCCACGCGTATGTACACCTATACTTTTTCCCGTGATCGGGTGGAGATCGAAAATCGTCTTCGCGCGCTCCCCACGGCCGAGTGTATAATGTACACACACACACACACACAACAAACGTTTATTAATATATCGTCTTCTCTGGCGGTCTCTCCTTGGTGGCGTACTGGAATAGTCCCTTCTATCCGAAAACTCGATTACACCGTTATATACCATCCTTGTTCCTTCAACCCCTCTCTCTCCTCTCACCCAGTGCAATGGTCAAATCACTCGAAACCGTAATATATATATATACGGTTGTGTGTAAGTGTGTGGGTTCATGTCTCTTTTCTTGCTCGGTGTAAACACACGCCCGCTCGACTATGTTACTATAGTAATGTGCGCGCACACGGCGCAACGACGTCGGCGCGTGCAAAACCTGTGCTTCAAGCTTCAAGGGAGAGGCGAGTTTTGTCCCCCTGTACTGCACACACACTTAACTACGTTTTGGTCTGGTCACGTGTCGTCTTCAAAACAAACGCAACCTGATTACAAATCTAATAATAATAATAATGATATTCTATAGTCTATACCAATAGCAAAAGAGGTGTATGTATAATATAATAATAATAATAATAACAACAACACTACATACTATATTCAAGGAGGCCGTATATTATTATTATCGTGATACAAGTATATCATCATACTATTGTATAAGTATGACAACACAAGATATTGAAATTTTTTGATAATGTTTGAGACGTTATGAATAAGTATATTATTACGTTGTCATGATAATTTAGGGATAATAATTATGTTTTAGATTATTGAAGAATTGTTTTGAATAAAAAATATTCGTCTTTTCTCTTATAATAAGTAACAGTTCCAGGAAAAATTGTAAATACTTTTTTAAACTCTTATAATATAACTACATACCTAATTTCGTTGAAAGCGTTTCTTAAAGCCATTATATATTATTAATAGTATATATCAGAGATATTCAAACTTTTTCAGCACGTGGCTCCTTTCGGTGTTCACAATATTTTTACGGCTCCCAAATTATTATGAAATAATTGAAACAACARCGGATACAATATGGGAAATATGTTATATGCGGGTGATAATAACAGTGACTTTAGCACTAGAAATAAAACTTCAAATGGTGGGATAGTTAGATGTGTCGTTTTTATTTCCATAATGATTGCGAATAATATTTATAATAATTATACAAGATCTATGATGTTGGTTTTCGGTGCTTTGACGCGGCTCCCTTTGCAAACTCTCGCGACGCCCCTGGGATTTTATTTTAGTTAAAATAATGTGATAAAAAGATTCCGATAACACATTATAAATACTAGCTGACCCGGCAATGCTTCGCTATTGCAAGATTTCTCAGATATTAAATTGCTATTTATTTTATTTTCTGGATGTTTCTGGATGTCTTTTTATTCTAGACCACTTTTAGTCACGTCTTCATGGTAATTTAGCCATATAAATTTAGCATCACCACCGCGGATTCTTCATAATGTTTAAAAAAATTTTTTTGTATGTAGTGATAAATGCATATGTATGTAAATTGTGTGTGTACATTTTGTAGGTATAACTATGGATGGAACAAAAGATATGAATTATGCCAGTATTTTGATAATTATTCAAATACTTAAACAATTTCTTTGTAAACAACGTTATCAACTTTTTCTGGATCGGGGGCAAAAATATAYAAATTAAATTTGGATGTCACACGTGRCAGGKCGACGTATAGTTGACCGTGAGAAAAACATTGAATGCTTAGGTCAATTCCTGCAACGTTAAGTGTTTGTCCCTGTACTTTATTTATATAGTCATTGAAAATGCTAATTTAACAGGAAATTGAATACGTTTAAACTTAAAAGGTAAATCTGTGGGTATAATTGGTATTCTTGGTATTAAAACAGTTTTTCCATTACCACAGCCTGTTAATATTATGCACTCGAGTAATGAACTTCTCAATTTTTTGTTTTGTAGTCTTATACCGTTGCAAAGTGTGGGTGGGCTCAAATTTCTCATTAAAATAATAGGTGCCCCTATTTTTAAAATCAGTGTATGTGGTGGGACTCCAGAAGGCGTTAAAGAGTTAAGAAATTCAGCTGGGAAATGGACGCACCCTCTTTTTCTAAGACTGTATCAACTGAATAGTACATTTGTGATTGAGCGTCCAACCTAGATAGAATCAAATCATTTAATTTGTCGATTTGCTCATTTGTTGGTGACAAAATAGCCCTTTCTTGAAACCATTTCAATGATTTAGAAGATATATTTAGAATGTTCGGGTACACGTTTTGAATCAATTTTGTTATAGTGGGTACTGAATTACAGAAACTTTTAATATTTATTTTATCATTCGTTGCTTGAAATTCGTAGTAGGATCTTTTCAAAGACGCGTTGACTTCATCAGCTCTTGTAACCACAGGCAAGATCTGATGGAAGTCTCCAAAGAACAACACTGTGCAGCCACCCATAGGACTATTATTATGACGCAAGTCTCGCATCGTTCTATCTAATGCTTCAACTGAAGTTTTTTGGGACATTGACGCTTTGTCCCAAATAATTAGACTACAGTCCTGCATCAATTTACCAGTACCACTTTGCTTTGAAACGTTACAGACACTCGTAGTATCGTCACTATCATATTTCAAAGGAAGTTTAAATGTAGAATGAGCTGTTCGGCCCCTTACTAATAGCGTAGCTGCAATGCCAGATGACGCTACCGCAAGAGCAATTTTTCCACCATATCTTACTTTTGCAAGAAGTAAATTTATCAAAAAAGTTTTACCCGTGCCCCCAAGAGCATCTAAAAATAATATTTTGCCTTCATCATTRTTAACAGACGACGTCACTGAATCATATACAATTATTTGTTCACGGTTTAATTGATTTTCATTTTGAACGGACAGTAATAGTTGCTGTTGATCACTTCTTTGTTTAATTCAAATAAAGCTTCATCAAATATACTTTGGTCAAAACTAATATCATTTGATGACAATTCCTGTCGTTTTCGATGCAATATATTGTCGGCCATACTTTCATGATAATTTTGCCAAAGCATCAAAGGATCAGTAATTTGACAAATTGTTAGCATGATAGTAAATAAACATCTTAGTAATTTAGGTGTACAACATATAAACGCTTCTGATAGCGTGTTTTCCCAATGAGACTCGTCATCCAATAAACCCAACGCGTTGCATGCACCTTGAAAAGTATCATAAATTACATTTTGCACTGTGCGAACGTGCGAAGACTTTGAAAAGAAGTTGGACCTTTAACTATATGGAGCAGCATTCTCAAGTGAAAACACTCGGTATTGTTAGGATGGATTGTATACCTGCCCAGAGCTTAATTTTTTTTGACGCCAGGGTGCCCTTCTACCACAGTTCCTTGTCATTGTTCCACAGTCATTTGGAAACCATTGTTGTAATAACGAATATCACGTGTGAATTGTTTATGTTTTGTGTGACTTACATTAAGAAGGGAATTCAATGGTTCTGGTGGTATAATTATATCATCTAATTTTACTTTGCCATTAGAGCAGCATAAGGTTTTGCATTTGTCTTTCCATCTCAGAGCAGAACAAAACTGGCAAACTATTGTAGGATTTCCTAAAAAAAATAATGGGTTATTTTTGTAATCCACCGTTAACTCATAGTTCATAGCAGAATAATCATTTCTCGACTATGAACCTCTGTCGTTCACAATATCATCATTATTTGATTGTCGTTCTCTATCTCTACGCACTACACGCATTCTTTTGGCATCATACTGAGATCAACCAATGTTTAACTTTCGTCTAGGCATTTTAAAAATTAAAGTAGTACAATCAATTACGCCTTTAAATGATTAAACCAGCCAACAATCAACAGTTAATAAAATAACAATGCTTATATATTTGCCAGGCAACGCGAGCGCATAATACCTGCCTTGGTTATTAGCAGTATACAATACGTACAATCTATCTATCTATCTATCCATGTATCTATCTATCTATCTATCTATCTATATTTATATAAATTAAGTCACTTTTTTTTGTTCGGGATAAACTCCGAAACTACTTATTGGATTGCCTTGCAATTTTTTTAAAATTAAAGAGCACATCAAAGAGAAGGTTTTGGGCATGAAAAATTTGAAAAAGTTACCGGGTTAGAGGAATATGACGAGGTGGTGATGAAATGACAGTGTCGCAATCTGTCCAGCAAAAAATGAGCTAAATAATAATAATATTTTTTGGTAGTCAATAGCAATCATTTAAACAAACAAAACGTGCTCTCGAGAGAAGCCAAACTTATTTTTGGGATGGAAATTTTTGTTTATTTATAAAATGTTTGTTATAGTGACGGCTATTATTAGTGATGGTTATATATATTTAATTATGATATGATATGATAGGTATTATATAAAATAAATAAAAGTTGCTTATAACGCAAGCATATTATAACCACTTATTTGACATTTGGTCTATGGTAATAACTAATAAGTCAATTGTTTGTGTTATAATGTTAACGTCTCTTTACTGTGCATCTAAAGCCACAAATTTCTATACAATTATAAAAGGGTTATGTGTTTGTGACTTACTAAATATGCCTCCAATAAGATGGCGGACAAACTTAGTCAGAAGAACCCGAAATTTAAGGATACTAATTATTTAATTAATGACAATGGAGGGATTTACTTCTTATACGCTCCTGGTGGTACAGGAAAAACTTTTTTAATTACTATTAACAAAAAATGAAATTGCTCTAAATCTTGCTTTGTCGATCGTCAGGCATTGCAGCAACTTTGTTTGAAGGCAGTCAAAGAACAGACCCCATTCAGCTCTAAAATTGCCATCGAATATACAGAGTAACGAAAATCTAACTTGCAACATTTCCAACAATTCGGAAATGGCAAAGATTTTACAGGAATGTAAACTAATAGTGTGGGACGATTGTGCGATGGCGCATAAAAAATCTTTAGATGCTTTAGATAGAACCTTAAAAAATCTACGGAACAACCAAAACAAATTTGGTGGCGCTATGATTTTATTACTAGATGATTTTCACCAAACATTACCAGTGGTTCCACATTCAACGCTAGCTGATGAACTGAATGCATGTTAAAAGTCCTCCAATTGTTGAAATATCTCGAGATATTACATTTAAGCTAGAATATGCGTGTCATGTAGCAAAATGATCAATCTAGAGACATATATTCTTTAAACAACTCATTGATATTKGTAATGGAAATTTTCCTATATATGTGCTGATTGGCTGCATCACCTTTCCTAAGAGTTTTATCAATTAACACAATCAAAAGCTGAACTCATTAAAAAGGTGTTTACAAATGTTGCTAAAAAATTACTTATTCCATGATTTGTTGAGCTAATTAATAAATTAATAAACCACAAGCGTTGTATGTTTAATGGGAAATTCATATGGAAAAAAAAATTTAAAAAAATGGATTTCTGTCTATTTATCCTTTATGCATTCCAATTCCAATTGATGGACCGATTGCGACGAAATTTGATATAATTATAATTGCAGTATTTATCCAAGCGTGATTATTGGAAAAACGTAAAAATTAAGCATATATTATAAAGCATTTAAATAAAGGATAAACAGACATCATAGATATAGAGATACAGCTATATATATATATCTGTTTGTCCTATACACATTCTTAAACAGCTGGATCGATCGTGAAAAACTTTGGTAAATAATTTTATTAGATATATGGGCAGAAGATAGGTTAAGTTAATAAGTGATACCTATGCCTAAATATTATTCAATTTAATATTTAAATTGTTAAAATTATATTGATAAAACGAAGAAAATTACATAATGATATACGAAATTGAATATCGCTGTAAGATTATAATATATTTTAATCACTATCTATCATTATAACATGTATAAAAATATTCTGCAAGCATCATCACATGAAATGAATTTAACACACAGTATGAACCATATAAGAGGTAGGATTTTTAACGGGCTACGAAGTGCACGGGTTCAACTAGTAATATATATATATATATATATATATAATATATATATGTATACAATTTACACGTTTATTTTAATTAATAATAACTAATTATTTATTAACTTAATCGGACTAATTGTTTGCCTTAAACCTTATCTGTGATGTCCTCTTTAATTAAAAAAAAATGCACGACGATTGAATAAGTAGTTCGGAGTTTATCCCGAACAAAAAAAGCGACTTCGTTTTATATATTAGTATAGATATAGATTATGATAGTTAACTGAAGTAAAGTTTATTAGTAATTTAATCATATAATAATAATATGATGACATATTAGAAACAGGATATGAAAGAAAACAATATGACTTACGTAAGTATCTTTTTGATAAATTTGCAAAGATTAATAATTATTTGAATCCCAAAACAACAGAAGTGCAAAAAAAATAAATAATAGTCAAAATTGTGTACTTTTTTATAACAATAAAATTGATTTGTATCAGTTAATTTTATCTTTTAAATATATTTTTTTCAATCGTATTAATATTCTAATATTTTTTTTTTTTTCTAAAGTATAATAACATAATCGATTATTCTTGACCACGTATTTGTAATTTTCTAATCTGTCATATATTCAAGTTAGTGAATCATAATAGGCGTTGGGTACCGGATAATGACTTCGACTTATAGAAATATTTGACTTATGGAAATTCGATATACCGAAATAACGTAATACGTAAGTCTAATACTGAATGATTGGGACTGAAAAATAAAATTTGACATACAGAAACTTCGAAATACCGAGGTTTCACTGTAGTTAATTTGTTAATTTTTAATATTTGTTATACCCTAAAACATATATTGTTATAAATGCTGTATTTTTATTTACTTGTGATTTAATACTTTGAAATGCGAAATGCGTTAAACAGCAATTAAACAAATAATGTATTAAAATTATTCATTGAGATGAGAAACTGAAGAGATGCATCCATGTCTCGGGTGCACCTATTTTGCCTACCTATATCGCCGTGTGGTCAACATATTTTATTTTTATGATAATATTATACTTTAGCAGTTCGGKCTTGATAAATCAAACGGAAAGCATCGATAATTTGAATTTTTTTCTTTCCTCTTGATGAGTTTGAGGTATATTGCTCGAAAAATGTATATTTCCAATGTTTCCGTGTAACTTATACTTAACTAAGATAAATAAAAATTATTATATATTTAACTTTTTTAGTATTACATTTTTTGGATATATAAAATTATCATTAATTTACTCATGCCTTTATGGCAGTAGGGCATAAATGAAATAAAAAAAAGCTTTTGACTCTGAAGTCGATGCCAAAATGTATAATTTATACTAATACACTGATATTTTTAAATTAACTAGCTGATCCCGTGCACTTCGTGTAACTCGTTAAAAATCCTACCTTTTATATGTCTTAAACTGACAAACTGTGTATTAAATTCGTTTTCTGTGATTATGCTAGCAGTATATTTTTACACATATAGATAAATAACTGTTAAAATATACCAAGTAATAATCTTAGCACAATATTCAATTTAGATTATTATTATGTAATTTAATTCGTTTTATTGAAAAAATATGCGATGAGAATTCAAATATGCGATTGTATGATATTATTCGGGCGTATCACTTTTTAACTAGTCTATCTTCTGCCCATTTATATTTGTGCCAAATTTCTTTGCCATATAAATATATTTAACACACAATATTGATATGTATTTGGATACACAATATTTTTTGTTCTTCCTTCTGGTGCGTACACAAATAAATCAAAAAATTTTCCGACAAGTGAGAAGTATGGATTTTTCAAATTCAGTCCACTCACTTATAGCGATTGTCCTTGTGCTTTATTTATGGTCATTGCAAATGCGAGTCACACAGGAAACTGCAAAGTTTGAATTCGAAAGGCATATCTCTTGAAATCATTGGAATGCGTGGCAACAGTAAAACTTGGAGTTTACGCTTTCTGTTTAAAATTGTAGCTTCAATGATGATGTTGTTCATTAACTTTTTCACTGAAAGCCTGGTACACAGGGGCGGACTGGCCCAGTGTTTTACTGTCCTATAGGACAGTGGGCCGCTGTCTTTGGATGGGTTTTGGGCCGATGCCTTGTAACTTACTGTTGTAAGTACATTTATATCGGTAGATAAGTAAATATTAAAATATAGTAATGCGACATAATATGATATGAGACATAGGCTACATAGCCACAATGCCACATATGCGTAATTTTACGTAATGTTTAGTATATAGAATATTACATTGGTATATTATGTATAATAGTTATTATTATTTATTAGTTATGATAAGTCAGTATCGTTTCAAATCTCAAGCGTCTATCGATAAATCATTTCCTGGGAAAAATAAACATATAGTTTTGCTATAAATAGATTAACGTGGTATTATTATACGTTCATATTATCTGATATACTATCTCAATTTTTMATTGGAATGGAACGAATTTAACATTGATTTGGACAAAAATGGTAAGTGCAACTTTCAAATTTGTAAAATTGGTTACTAAATTAAATTTTATCCTAATTTAATTGTTTTAATATATTTTTTTTTTAACTACAGGATGTAAACAATCATCAAAATCAAATCATGCCCGTTCTAAATATTTGATCTGCGTTCAAAAACTATTATACTCACTAAATATGCATTCTACCGCTTACTCAAATTTATATGCTGCATATGAATTTGTCTTACGTTTATCAATCAGTCAAGTTAACTGTGAACGTGCATTTAGCACTCTAA